AGGCTATAAATTTCCTTTGAAGCCTGCTTCCCTGCATGCCACAAGTTTTGATATGCAGTATTTTCGTCACTGTTAGGTCCTAATTGTTTTGAACTTTCCCTCAACTATGATTTTTTCTTTGACTAAGAGTTATTTAGAAGTTGTTTATAAGTGCAAATTTATAATTTGCTATAAATTATAGTTATCTTTCTGTAATTGCATTTTAACTTCACTGCATTGTGGGCAGAAAATGTGGAATGATACCTATCTGGAATTTGCCGAGAATTTCAAAGGCCCTAGCTTATGATCAACTTTTATAAATATTTCATGTGTGCTTAAAAAGAACTCCAAATTTTAATTGTGTGTGCAGAATCCACACGTGCTCATTAAATAAAGCTTGTTTATTTTATTGTGTAACTCTTCCATACCTTGCTGTTATTTATCTTTATAACCTACAAACAATGAGCGAGGTGTGCTGAAATCTTCGATTGTTTTGGTGGACTTATTATTTTTTTCAGTTTAAAAATATCAATTTGGCCTTATATATTTTGAGGCTTATTTGGTGCATTCAAGTGTGGAATTGTTATATCTTTATTTGGAGTTGAAAGTTTTTTCATGATACAGCAGTCTTCTTTATGTTTAATAATCACTTTGTCTTAAAGCTAATTTGTCTGCTATTAATATAGTTACCCTGTTCTTTTGGTGGATATTTATCTTGTCGATCTTTTTTATATTTTAGTGTTCTTATGCTGTAGAAGGATCTCTGGATTTAATTTTTAGTCTAATCTGACAGTTTCTGTGTTTTACTGAGCACTACTTTTTTCCTATGCTTCTTTTCTACCATTTATTTCTTTAAAAATAATTACATTTTTATTGTTGTAATTTATTTTCTTATTCTAGTCTCCTTTGCTCCATTGGTTTGGAAATTATATTCTTTGTCTTCTTACGATTTACCACTGAAAATTTAGTATGCATATTTAACAAATTTGAAGTTAATATTGTAACCCTTTTTTTTTAAAAAATGAAGACTTTGAACACTTGAATTATGATCACCTTCTCTCTGTATGCTATTGTTATGCATTATTTTAGTTTCTTTTTCCCAATTTTCTTTGGTACTGGTTTCAGGTGCATAGCTTACTGGTTAGACAATCACATACTTTACCAGTGTTCCCCCTGATATTTTCAGTATCCCAACTGGCACCATACATAGTTAACACAGTGTTATTGACTTGTATTTCCTATGCTTTACTGACTTCCCCATGACTATTCTGTAGCTACTGATTTGTGCTTCTTAGGCTCTTTTCCTCTTTCACGCAGTCCTCAACCCCTCCCCACCTCTGGCAGCCACCATTTCTCTCTGTATCTGTGAGTCTGTTTCAATTTTGTTCATTTATTTTGTTCTTTAGATTCCACATGTAAGTGTAATCATGTGGTATTTGTCTTTGCCTGACTGATTTATTTCACTGGACATGATACCCTCTAGTTTCATCCATACTGTGGCAAATGGTAAGATTTTATTTTTTATGTCCAAGTACTATTCCACTGTGTATATGCACCAACACATTTTTACCCACATGTCTACTGACGAGCACTTGGGCTGCTTCCATAGCTCAGCTATTGTAAATAGTGCTGCAGTGAACGTAGGAGTGCACATATGCTTTTGAATTAGTGTTTCAAGTCTCTTTGGGTAAATCCTTTTAAGTGGAGTCACTGGATCATGCAGCAGATTCATTTTGAATTTTTTGAGGAAACTCCATATTGTTTTCCATAGTGGCTGCATTCCCACCAGCAGGGCGAGAGGGTTGCCTTTTCTCCACAATATTGCCAACACTTGTCATTTGTAGATTTATTGATAATAGCCATTCTGACAAGTGTGAGGTGATATCTCATTGTGGCTTTAATTTGCATTTCTCTAACAATTAGTGACATGGGACATCTCTTCACATGTATATTAGCCTTCTGTAAGCCCTCTTTGGAGAAGTGTCTGTTCAGGCTCTCTGTCCATTTTTTAAAATTGGATTGTATACAGTTTTTTTTGATGTTGAGTAGTGTGAGTTCTTTATAAATTTTGAATGCTAACCTTTTATCAAATGTATTACTGGCAAATATGTTCTCTCATTTAGTAGATCGTCTCTTTTTTTTTTTTGATGATTTCCTTTTCTATGCAAAACCTTTTTAGTTTGATGTGATCCTGTTTGTTTACTTTTTCTTTTGTTTCATTTGCCCAAGGAGATAAGTCAGAAAAAAATATTGCTAAGACAAATGTCAGAGGTTTTACTGCCTATGTTTTCCTCTAGGATTTTTATGGATTTGAGTGTTCCATTTAAGTCTTTAAATAATTTTGAGTTTATACTTGTATATGGTGTAAGAAGGTGGTCTAGTTTCACCTTTTTGCATATGTTTGTCCAATTTTTCCAGCATCATTTATTGAATAGACTGTCTTTACTCCATTGTAGGTTCTTGCCTCCTTTGTCAAATATTAATTGACCATATAGACGTGGGTTTATTTCTGGGCTCTCTATTCTGTTTCATTGATCTATATGTCCATTTTTATGGCAGTATCATGCTGGTTTTTAAAAAAGATTTTATTAATTTAATTTTAGAGAGATAGGAAGAAAGCGAGAAAGAGAGGGAGAGAAACATCAATGATAGAGGGACACATTGGTCTGTTGCCTCTCATACATACCCTGACCGGAGACTAAACCTTGACTGGGAATTGAACTGGCCAACTTTCATTTTGCATGATGCCTAACCAACTGAGCCATGCTGCTCAGGGCAGTACTATGCTGTTTTAATTACTATTGACTTGTAGTATAGTTTGATATTGGGTAGCGTGATACCTCCTTGTTTCTCAATTTTGCTGACACAATTCAGGTTTTTCTGTAGTTCTATAAAAATTTTTGGATTACTTGTTCTAGTTTTGTGAAATATGCCATATTTTGACAAGAATTGTGCTGAGTCTACAGATTGCTTTGGGGTGTGGATATTTTAATGATGTTAATTCTTCTTATCTGTAAACATAGTATATGCTTCCATTTATTTGTATTTTCTTTTATTTCCTTTTTCGGTGCTTTACAATTCTCTGAGTATAGGTCTTTTACCTCCTTGGTTAAATTTATTCCTAGGTTTTTTTGGGGGGTGTAATTGTAAATGGGATTGTACCCCATACATGCTCTGATTGGGGATTGAACCCACAACCTAAGTATGTGCCCTGAGTGGAAATTGAACCCACAATCTTTGGTGTATGGGACAACGCTCCAACAAACTGAGCCACTTGGCCAGGGCCTCAATTGCTGTTTCAGTGGTTTAAAATTTAACATTGTATTTAATGATGTAGGTGCTCAGATTTGTGCCGCATTTGGCTAGAAGGTGCTTCTGTCTGGTCCCTGCAACCTTGGAATGTGCTTCTGTTGTTTTTTTGAGCAAGTCCTTGCTTTCTGGCATAAAAAGCTATTCCAGACTCATCTCGTACCTCCCCGGCCCTGGCCCTGGAGTCAGCCATTCCACCGAGGAGTCTTCTCCGCTAAGAAAGGAAAGGCATTAGAGACCATGTTGAGGAATTCACCACGTTGAGGTACTCCATTCCGGTTTAGAATGGTGAGATGGTCATCCTACAGACCTTTTGACAGTACTCCCAAATATGGCTACAGTCATGTTGTAGTTTTACACAAAAGGTAAACAAGATTTTAACGACAGGTGGTTAAAGAAATATATCCGACTTAGACGCTGCGCATGTGCTCCTGAAAACTCTCCTACTGAGCTCTGTTGAGGAGGCAGTTCTAAGCAGTGTGAACTGCCAGGCCCTCCCTGGAGGTTTCCCTTCCGGCCCTGGGTGGCTTCCCTGAGGCCACAGCATGGGACACCTTGGGAACTGCTTTGCACTCATATCCACGAAACCTGTAACTGTTGGAGAGTTCACACCCAAGGGATCACCTTGATCAATGGCAAACAGGAATGGTGGGTAAGTGTTTCTTTAGGACAGTTTGGAGATGGGTGGAGCCCCAGTTGCCCTCCCCGGAGGCTACCTCAGTAACTCACTCTGTGTTCCCTTTCCCTCTCTCCCCATTGCATGCCTCCTGCCTTTCACGCCTGCTCCCTGGGGCAGTTTCCCAATAACTGTACACAAAGCTTTGTCTTGGGTTCTCTTCCCAGAGGGATTCAGGCTAAGGTCATGTATATAAGATACATAAAATTCAAATGGGAGGGATGATATTACCTGGTAATTTACTCAGATCTTGCCGGGCAACTGAATAGCAGAATAAAGGAAGATTTATTATTTAACATGAATATCATTTCAGAACTCACTGACTTCTCTGCCTCTGCAATATGTCCTTTTCCACATATTTCTCCCATTTCTTGCTTTCCTGATCTCACTGACCATCCATCTTCCTTCCCTTTTTGCTTTATCTCTAGTCCATCTCTTCTCACCTCATCGTATTTCTGTCTCCTTCATGCCTTTGTTGTTTCTCTTATTCCTCTTATTTCCTTCCATTTCCCACTGTTAGCAAACAACATTGGTAGTTAAGCTAGCTCGTTGGACACTCGAGTCCCCTGATTTTACATTCCTCACATTGCCTCACAAAGTGGGGAGGAAAAGCTGGGATCAGATTGTGTGCTCCCCCACATTAGGCTTCTGAAAGCTTTGCTGACTGTTGATGGGACTGGCCCTGAACAGAAGCTTCATGAATGAGGAATGAGCATGTGAAGGGTATGCAGAGAGATGATGGGACTCCCACGGCCCCGGCAGGCACAGAAATCACAGAGTGAGCTCTGGGAACTGGTCCTGAGTGTGTGGATCCCTTAGTTTAGTCTTCTTACTCTGGGCTCTGCTCTTCGGCTGCATCGTGGAGTTCGTTCCTTCTCAGGAGTGAAAACCAGAACCTGCAGAGGAGCTGAGAGACTCGTGGAGAAGTCTCAGTCCCCGTTGCTTCCTTCCCCCAGGACGATGCAAAGCAAGGCCAGATTTTCCCGGAGGCGACTTGTTCTGCCTTTTTGGAAAACCACCCCAGTACACGCATGTGTTCACATTTTAAAAGCACTTTATTACCAAAATGAACAAAAGGAGAATGGTGTTTAAATTAAATAAATTACACAAATATCTCAAGAGTCCCAGCTTGCCCCGGGAACCACATTATCACCGGTCAGTATCACTAAGAACATTTAAAAGTATTGAAATTCTGGATTATTTCACTACCTTGCCCTCCTTTCCTGCTTCGATAATTTCCAGAGAGTGGTCTGTGTGAATCTGTGTTCTTTCCAAAGTATTCTAAAAGTGAAGTTTTCTTTAATGTCTTTCTCCTCCCCATGTGTTTCTAATCTCACCTCCACTGTGGCCCCTGTGAGTACGTATACCACTGGTCACGTTGCAGGGTCCCTCCCCAAGCCCCACTGCAGGCCATTGTGAGTTAGCCATCCTCTTCAAGCCTGGGGCCAGCCTGGTGGGTCACGGTGACTTCACTGAGTCCTTGACGGATAGAAACACTTGGTTCAAAGGGGACCTCTTGCCTTGGAATGTCCTGAGACTGTGCTCTTTTTCCCCCTAGTAGGCTCCGGAGCTAGACGTTAAAGGAGGTGAAATAGGGGAGGGTGAGTTGCCATTTGGCTAAGGTCCTGTCTTCCTGGAATTTGGCACTGTGGGTGCTGGGCATGGTGAATCCCAGATAACATTTTCTTCTGCCTTCCAAGTTCTGAGTCCCACGGGCAGCCAGATGGCATAATGAATTCACAGAGAAGCAATGCTCGTGTGCCAAGAATCTGCTGGCTCCTCGCCAGCACCCCTCCTTTAACTCGGAGGAGACTCGCTAGCTGACCGGCTCACTCAGCACACAGACACACAATGCAGATCAGGCTGAAGTTAGGAATTGGGGAGCTTTTCCAGGCTGGGCCAGCCCAACCTGTTGGGCAGGGGTCATTAAGTCTAAGGAGCCTGGGAGAAGCAGCGGGGAGAGGCCAAGAGGTGTTCTGTGCACGTGCATGGCCATTTTCCCAAACACTTGCACACGGGACCTATTTATTTTCAAGTCACTGTGGGGTTCCTCTAGTTACCTCCCTATGTACAGAGAGCACTTAATCCCCATTCTCAGCTTTCCTAGAAGGAGGTGGCTGCAGGTCCTGAGTGTGTTAAGGAATCCCTGTGGAGGGAGATCCAAACTGCGTCAGCCCTTCTCCATGTGCTGTGCCTGGTTGGGGGATGTGGCCAGCCTTCGGGGGGGCACATTCCCTTGCCTGAATGAGGGATTCAAGCCCCAAGCAGATAAGGAAGAGTTAAATGCATTGGCTCTTTGCCAAGTGAAGAAGGACAAAGGAGATTTCTCAAGTGGGGGACACATTTCCCTGATGCGCTGTGAGGTCAGGGGGACTGTCCGGGCCCCCTGAGGGCCCACCAGTTGCCCTAAATTGGCACTAACCCCACCCCCATCTCTGATACAAAGAGGGACTCCCCAAAGCTTTTGTGCAGAATAACTTGTACCTGTTGCTAGGTTGCCAGAGGATTCGGCCAGCTACCCTCCTTTCCCTTCCGGGTTCCTACCATCTCAAGTGGAAGGAAGCAGCCCCTGAGGGCAGGGGGAGTGATGATGTGTCAGGAAGCTGGGGCAGCTCCTTCGTGGACTACCCCTGGGGAGGTAGCTCTGCTGGCCCTGAGGGCTTTGGATGCTCCCCAGGCCCGAGTCTGATGTGTTGAATAGCATGGAGGTCCCGGCCGCCTGGAGACGAGGAGGAAGTGACATAGTCACCAAGACAGAGATGCCTGGGTTGTAGGGAGCACATGGTTCCAGAGGGGCAGAGCTACCAGGAGCAGAGTTGGGGCAGCTGGAGGGGGCAAGCAACAGAGTCCTAAGCCAAGTTTGTCCCTGTGTCTTGTGATAGCTCGACACCATTTGACACCAAGCCATGCGGGTCCAAGGACACTTTGGAAACTTGCACTCTAAGTCAGTAGTTGCACTTGCCCATCTGTTCTTGGCTCATGCTTCAAGCCCAGCAGTCAGGGGCTCCCATCAGTTGCCATGGGGAAGAAACAGGACGCTTGCTGGCCAGGGCCATGGAGGTCAGCGAAGGGTAAAGAGGTGGCTTTTCCTGCTTCTGAGATTGCCTCACTCTAGAGGTGCCAGGAGGGAGGTGGGGGAACTTGAGAGGAGGAGGAGGAGAATAGAGAGGAGCCAAGGTCCTGGTGAAGTACTCTCCTGTACCTGCCATCTGCTGCTTTCCCAGGCTCATCCTTCACGAAGTCCCAGGTGCCATGCGCTCTGGAGGCAGCATGGGAACTGCTGGGTCCTCACAGGGCGGTCAGAGTCTCTGTGTGAAACATGCTCCCAAACATCTCCTGTGGGGAAGGAGAGGGGAGTTGAAGGAGCTGCACTAGACCTGCTGGGTTCAGAGGGGCTGCAACCAAGAGGTAACCTTATGGACCCCTGGCCAGAAAGTAGCATTGTCAGTGAGTGTGTGAGTGTGTGAGGGTTGGAGTGTACATATGAATGTGTATGTGAGTGAGTGTGCATGAGTGTGTGTGAGTGTATGAGAATAAGGGAGAGGGGGGGTCAGCCTAAGAGGAGAATAGGTCCAGAAGTGACAGGAGAAGATGCCTGGACTCTAATTTGGACTGTCCTTGGTGTGACCTTCCACGCATCCCTCCCCTTTTGTGGCTTCACTCCCATTACTAGGTAAAATGAGGGCTGAGATCAGATAAGATCGACAGTCCTTTCTGGCTCTGATAAACTATTTTGGTCTTGCCCAGGAGTTTGGAACATTCTGGAGATTCCACGGGGGCCTAGAAATCAGCCTGCCAAACCCTTGTGGCTCTGGCTGCATTTCTTAATGTCTCCTAGGTGCCATCAGCACGCCCAGAGGCATCTCAGGGGTCATCAAACTTAAGCCCACAAAGAATGAGAAGAAGCATAAAGTTCGATGTTATTTCTATCTGGTTTCTGTTAATTAGGGTCATTGAGGTAGTGCTATTCTTCATGTCGGGACCACAAGGCCCTGTGGGGATATTAACCCCTCCCTTCTGCAGAGCTCTTAGCTTTTAAGGCCTGCCCACTGCAGTGGTATGTGTCCCACTAGAATCTGCATCCTCAGACTCCATCTGACCCTACCAGGATACAAGTTTCCTAAGGGCAGGCGTCTTGGTTTTGCTCACGGCCATATGCCCACCCTGGCTGGAATTGTGTGGGCAAGCAGTAGGCACCCCATAAATATCTGCTGAATTAATGAAAGAACAAAAGAATCCCCTGCTCATCTTGTGAGGTCGACGGGCCAGGTCTTACTCACATCCCCCTTATTCTGCAGTGACAAAAACTGAGGCTTGGTGTTGTGTGGCTTGCCCAGGATCATGTGGTTGATGTGTTGGAGAGTTAAGAATAGATGCCCCCCCGCCCCCATCTCCATGCCTTTCAGGGAGTGAGAAGAATTAAGATCTGCTATTAAAAGAAAGATGAGAAAGAAATGCTGTTGACTTCAAGGTGACTGTTCTGGCCTGAATGTGAGAGATCCCATTGAACACCTTGGATTTGAGAGGGTCTTCTTTTTCCCCTTCTTGCCCCACCTCCTGCCCCTAAGCTTACCTGTTCTAAATCCCAGTAGCTAGCACTCTCCTCTGAACCGTATAAGGAGATCTCAGGGTCCATTGGAGCCTAAAGGGAAAAAAAAAACCATTGCAGAATGAGCTCCATGATTGAACGATGAAGTCTGGTGCAAACAGCAGGCTTTGGATGGCCGCCATGTTTCCTGACGCAGAACTGCTCCCCTCCCCTCCCCTCCCCTCCCTTCCCTGCTTCACAAAGTACAGCACCGCTCTGGTCTTCCCTGATGTGCCAGGCAGGCGTGCATCAGGGTCTGCCCAATGTGGGCATTTTAGAGGCAGGGAAGGTTTACCTGGCTTACAGCGACAGATTGCCAGCTGCCTGACCTCGAAGAATCTATTTCCCTCTGCTTCCTCATTTGTAAAAGTAGGGTAATCAAACTCTCTGCTGGTTTTCTACTCTCCATGCTGTTGAAAAGGTGTGGTGTAATCTATATATATGAATGTATTCTGTGATATGTAAATATATTACATATAATTTAAATTATTTTAAATACACAACCTGTAGTAACTGGACATCATTTGTACAACAACTAATGAGGATTCTCCCAGAGTCTCCCTCTTCCTGCCGCGTGGACAAGGGTCATGAGTCATGCCCCTGCATGGGTTCCCTCTGTGTGTCGGGGGCGGAGCCAAGCTCCCGCATGTCCCGGGCAGTCTTTCAGCACTTAGAACAGATGGCTTCACCTTCATCCGTCTCTTAAAGCAAAGAGCAAATGGTTGCTCTCCGGCCAGAAAAGGCTTTCCCATGACCCATAGATGGCAGGGAGGGTTTTTTCCAGGGCTGGGACACAGAGTCTTGGGAGGCCAAGGACAGTGGCTGAGCTGGGAGGGGACACTGGGAGGTGGCCGGTTGCAGGGAAGGCCTGGGCAGGAACCCCTGTGGGGTGGGCTTTTCCTGTCTCCCCCGCTTTGTGAAGTCCTAGACAGTGTTATTTGTAGCTCATTTGCATACCACTTACTGAGCTAGCAAATTAAATGTCAAGAAACTGAGACAAGACTCAGATTCAATCTCTTCGTTCATCACCAGCCTGAAATCTCCAAGCTCTGTTAAATTAAAACAGGCATGCTTATCCCCGCCCCCACCCCACTGCCCAGCCTGGTCTGGAGTGGAGGGGGCAGGGTGAGCCAGGCCGCAGCATGGGCCTCGAGCCTCACCGAGTAGCTTGGAGTATCCGTGGGCCTGGACATATTTTGTTTTCATTTCTTTCTTTTTGTTTTTGTTCTTATCTGGACACTAATATTAATGAAAGATTTTACAATATACAAAAGTGCTTTCAAGTACCATACAAGATATAACTATCAGTCCTTCCTAAAACCAAAACAAAAGAAAAACGCTTTGAAGTAGGTAATGTTAGTTTAGCGTGCCTGTTCCACAGGTAAGGAAGCAGATTCAGGACTGGTTTTGGAGCACCAAACTTCTGTGTTCTAATGCCCCCTGGTCCTGCCAGTTCAGTGTCCTGGGGCCTCCGATTCCCCAGGCGCCCAGATCTTACCTCCTGGAAGTCACGTCCTGGGGACGCTTCTCTGGCATTTGCCTGGGCAAAGAGGACTGCGTCGTGTATGCTGGGAAAGACGTGGTCGCGTTCTAGACATCCATCCTCAAAGACGCCCCCATGACTAATGTCGCTGTACACCTGGGCTGGAAGGAGGAAGGATAACAGCCATTGGACTGGAGCCGGGGTGGGGGAGGTTGGTGAGAGGGTAGGAGAAGGTTGCTGTCCTGGCTTCCAAGGGCTGTGGCATTGGCTTTGCAATACCAATCTTGGACAGCAGAGGGCAACATGAGCTTGGAGATGCTGAACCTTCAACCTAGGCACAAGGAAGCAGTTTGGGGGAGTCGGTACTTTGTGGCCATTGGAGAGAGAAAGGCTAAAAATGTTCATGAGGAGGCTGCTGCCAATTCTATCCTCTGAGGGTCCGTCCTTCCTCCTGCTTACCTAGAACTCTCCTGCAACTTCAGTGTGTGGCAGAGCTCTTACTCCTACCGAATCCTAGAGCCGATTTCCAGAGGAGTGTCAGTGGGGTGGGAGGAACCCTGTGATGCTAACTCTGGAGCGCATGCGCAGTGGTCGTGCTGTCACGGATTCTCTCTCCCAGAGCAGGGCCAGGATCAGCCCGGGGTGTGCTCAGGCCGGTTCTGAAGCTAGGCAAGCCCCCTAGAAGGGCTGAGCCTCTGTGGGGAGCAGGCTGTGCGAATACGTGTCCCTTCACGTTCGCTTGCCTGTCTGTGTGTACTTGCTGTGTGTCCACGTCCCTGTGCTCGACGTGTGCGTTAACAATGTGGAAGTCCACTGTAATGTGGACACGCCCTCTGGCTGTGTGTACATGCCCTTTGCAGACTGCGTGCATTGAAAACTGCACATCTACGTTTCCTGGGTAGTAACAGCATGTGTGTTTTATTATTCATCAAATTTCAGATGCAGAGAAGACGCCCCACACACACATTTATCTAATCAATCCCCTCATAGGCGACAGTTGATCCCCAGACAGATAAAGTGACTTGGCCAAAGGTATATGGCAAATTAGTGGTGGGGCAAATTAGAATCCTAGCTGTTTTTCCTTAGCTAGCCCCACGGTCTCCTGCCCTGCTACCGAGATCCCTGGGATGTCTGCAAGGTCTGGCCACAGTCTCTCATGAGCAGGCAGTAGTTTGGGGGAGTACATGGGTGCTCTCATTTTCACCACCTTCACTGTTCACCATCCCTCCAACCTGCTCCCACCTCACCCCCTCACTGGCCTTTTCATCTCCTAAATGTCCTGCTTCTCTTACCGTGAATGTTCACCAAGAAGACCTTCACACCGATCTTCCCATAGGTGGAGCTCAGCTGCAGGCATCGGGGCAGGGAGACAAAAGGAAAGGAATGTTCTGAGTGGTCTCAAAAGTGACTCACAAAACCCACTTCAGAGGGGAAGCCAAACAAATAAGCAGCCCTGAGAGCCCTGGCAGCCAAAGGTAAAAATGGCAGCAAAGCACACCACTTCTACTGGAGTGTTGGCCGGCAGCTTCTCCGAAAAGCCGGGAGGAAGTGGGGCTTTGCCAAGGAGGCAAGCACTTCGAGTTGCCATGGCCCCTTCTGATGGGGCCAGATCTTTTCCTTCAGTAGCTTAGATTCCCAGACTCCACCTGTTTCCCGACTCTGTGGCTTTGGGCAAAAGCTGCAAGGGAGGCCCAAGGCCTGGGGAGGCTAGAGCTTCAGGTCCAGGCTGGGGAAGCCGTCAGAGCCCCCAGCTGGGGATGGAGCTTCTGCGAACCTGGCCATGGTGACGTCAGCCCTTACACTCTCTGTTCCCCTCCATTCTCCTCATCTGAGCCAGTTCTGGGGTCAGCTGACTCAGCCCTTGGAGATGGTTGCTGAAAAGCTGTCAGATGAATTAATTTATTCAAGGGGTCCCGTGGGCTGCCTGTTCAGCAGAGGATGTGGGGCAGGGGTATTATTTCCTCCCTTCTCAGCTGGCAGGAACCAGCTGATGCCGGAGGGTCTGGGTGAGTGTGGGAAGGAGCAGCAGACCATGAAACAGGGCCACGCTGGACTCTACTCAGAGGACCCTAGGGTGGTTCCTGGTGGCCTGAGAGGGAACTTGGGATGGCTTCTGCTAGCCAGGGGTGTGAGGGGCGGGTGGGATAGCAGAGTCTGGGCCTCTGGCCTCCCTGCCCAGCCACCCATTGTCTTGGGCTCTCTGGGCCTGCTCTGCACGGAGCATCTTGTCCTGGTCACATCTGGGAAAAATGGATCCTTAGGGACATTGAGTCTCCTTGGCATGTGCCCTCCCTCAGCTTGTCACAATAAGTGCTCCAAGAAAAGGGAGTGTGGTCAAGCAGGGGTGAGGGTGTGCATGGGGGGCAACCGGCGCTCTCTCTGCCCGAGGGCCTCACCTTGGCCAAGGCTTTGATGCCCATCAGATCCACAAAGCTGACCCCACTCATGTCGAGGATGAGGGTATGGAAGGTGATGAAGGGTGGGACACTGGGCAGCATGTCAGTGGGCTCACTGGAGGTCTCAGCAGGGGCTGGTGGCTCGCATTGGGAAGCTGGGGGGCTGTCAGGACTGAAGGTGATGTAGGACACGCTGGCACCATTAGCAGGCGTCTGGTTGTTGTTGGGGTCAGTTGGGGAAGGGTTCTCAAAGTCCTGCTGGAGCTCCTGCAGGGAGACAGTCTGGAGGGTGGCGGGGGGTGGTCAGCAAACTGAACTAGACTTTGCTGTGGCTCAGGCGGGGCTGAGGAGCCTCAGGTGTGGAAGAACCACTGAGTCTGATCATGATGGATGCCAGCCCTGAAATCCTCATGGGGGAGGCCTCTCCCAAACCCCTTTCCTTAGGCAGGGCCTGCAGCTTGGCCCTCACAACCTGGACAAAGTTAGAGGACTCTCCACGAGAGGCACCCAGGCCACAAATCTTCGGAAATAATTCAGCTCTTTTTTGCCTTTGTCTGCGCCTGTTTCTCCCTATAACTCCCACACCCACCTCCACCGTGCTGCTCCGGGTTGGCTGGGTACCCCGGGAAATTCACTGCTGCTCCCCTCCTGGGGTTGTTGGTAAGTCCATGGGCCATATCTTATCTTACACAGAGAACTGGGGAACATGGGGGTTGGCATCCCCTCACCCAAGGATAAGAGGCTGCCAAGCAATGTCCACAGAGACTTTTGTCTTTGCCTTGAAGGGTGCTAGGGGGAGGGGCTCAAGGGTGCAAGATCAGAGAGGGCACGGGATGTTCCTAGCCTCAGTTCACCTTGGTCTTCATAAACAGAGACTTCCTCTGTTGCGTGGGCATCGCTCTCCCCTTCTTCTGCTTCTTGAGGTATTTCTGCTTGGCCAGCAGTACTTTCTGGGGATCCACGCCCGTCTGTGGGGAAGAACCAATAGCAGGCTTGGCTGGAGCCTCTCTGGGGGAGACCTGCCCTTGGCTCCCAGCTTCCTTTCCTCCGCCTGCTGGCCACTCTTTGTCCAGCCTTCCTGGTCACCAGAGGACTGAGACTTACCTTGGCAATGACCTTTTGCCTGAAGATCTCTGAGTTGGCAAAGTAGAGAGGAGAGCAGTAAGTGACAATCTTGATCCCCTGGACTTCCTGGACCTGTGACAGGGAGACTGAGTTCAGGTAGCAGGAATGTCTTTATTGATGGGTTTTTTAAGCCCTCTTTTATTTGGGCGATGAATAAAAGTGAAGGGGCAGGGCAAAAGAGAAAGGCCGTGAGCTTGGATTACCCACCCTATTGTAGGTCTTGGGATTCACATAAATGTCCATGTCCATGACCTGGGCCAAAGCATAGCCATTTCGACTGGATGAAGAAGAAGAAAAGCACCTGAGTGGATGCTAAGAGCAAACGGACCTAGTGGGAGCTGGGGCTAAGGCAGGGCAGGAGGGGGTCCTTGCCTCCCCCCTGCACTTGTTGTGTGTGTCTTTCTGCACTGGAGATGCATGCCTGCTGGCTGAGCTGTAACCAGAGAGGGGACAAGCCCTCAACAGAGCTCCCAGACAGGGGCTCAGTGGGCAGATGGAGTGGAGGTGCACATGGTGACAAGCTTAAGTGTCCTGAAAGTCACCATTTCCTGCTCTTGAGTTCTCAAGAAGAGAAGGCAGGGTTTCCCTAACATTCAGCATCCTTCCTACCCTGGCCTGGAGTCCCTGGACTGTTCTGCTTAATCTCTTTATAGGAAGAACATGGGGTGGGGTCCCATTTAGTCTGGTGTCCGGCAGTGCCTTCAGAAGCACACTGAGTCTTACTCATCTGCTCTTCCTCTACTTTCTCTGGTCCCCCAGCCCTCCAAGACCATGATGGCTTACTTGGTGTTTTCAGGGTATGGGAAATGAGACAGCCCAGTCCTGGCTGGGCTGGGCTTCCTCAGACCTGGCAGTGCCTCCAGTGCCAGGCCCAGGGGGCGGCAGAGCGAGGTGGGCTGGGCCAGGCCTCAGCATGGGAGCCCTTGGCAGGCTGGTCCTGGGACCCCCCATTGTGTCTTGGGGGAGGGGCTGTTACTTACAACTGGGTCTGGAAGACCACAACCAGGACGGAGAAGGCGACACCCACTGCCACACCATAAGGCAGGCTCAAAAAGAAGGAGGAGAGGAAGCTCACCACCCAGACACACTGTGAGGGAGAGAGATGTCAAAGCAGGCCTGGGAAGAAAACTGCCTCTTTCAGGAAGTCTTCCTGGATTAGCCAAGGCCATTCTCTGCTAGCACAACCCAGAACCACCCATCCATTTGCATGCCATTTTTGCGCTGTTCTATGTTTTTGTGCTTTGGTTACGTCTTCCCATTTCCCCTAGATGGCCTGTGGGTCACTGATCTTGTCTGGTACTTAACAGACAAGCCCAGCACACAGGTCTTGGAGGGCATAATGATAATGGCCAGAGTCTCGGGTCAGGCCTGAGTTCCAAGTTTTGTTCTCTTACTTCCTGGCAACGTGAGCCTTAGTTGCCTGATCCACAAAGGGGGAATAATAATGTTTGCTTCATGAAAGGACTAACAAGTTAAGAAATGTAGGGACCCAAGCCCACTGATGAGTACCCAGAGGGTTCCCAATAACCATGAGTTCCCTCTCTCCATCTGCCCCTCGGCTGTGATTCCCAACGCGGGCTTAGGGGTGCTTCCTGGCCTAGTGGCCTTCGGTCTGGTGGGTGGGGGGCAGGATTGGATTCAATTTTGCTAGTTGACCTCTATGGTCCTTTAGAGTTCCCCAAATTTCTCTAAAGGAAATAAATCTGCCCGATTCCTCCAGAGAGTTGTGAGGATCAGATGGAGACCCAGAGCACTGTGTGAGTTTTGGGGACTAATCGCCACGGCCAGAGACTGGTGGGTGGGGAGAAGCAGGTCTGTGGGCTGGGAAGTGGGACGCCGTTTTCCTCGTGGCTCTCCTCATTACTCGCTCACTCACCTGGGGACTCCGAGTGGACCACTCACTTCTCTGGCTCCCCGAGGAGACCCTGCAGCCCAGGGGTTTGGAGCCCAACACTTGGAGTTCCAGCCCTGGCTCTACCACACACTCCCTCTGCGGCCTCTGGGAGCAGCTTAGTAACCTCTCTGAGCCTTGGTTTCATGGTTTCGAAAGGTGGTAAGTCCTTCTGTGCAGATTACAGTGGGGCTTAAGTGGGGATAGTGCAGTGTCGTCAATGTGTGGCAGCTTCCTCACTGTTGTCCACTGGGAGATGTGGTGAGAACGTGACCAATCAACACTTAAGTCATGTTTGCAGAGTGCTCTGTGGTCACACGGCGCTTCCCCATGATGATCTCATTTAATCTTCAGAATCACGTGTGGTGCCGCCACCACTGTCATCCCCACTACGGATGGGGAAATAGAGCTCCAGAGAAGGCTGGTAGCTCGCTTAAGACCCTGCTCTGCTGGCTTTATGGTCTAGGGTTCTTTCCTTTCCTTTCCTCCCTTCCTTCCTTCCTCTACCTTCCTTTGCCCTCCCTCCCTCCCTCCCTCCCTTCCTTCCTTCCTTCCTTCCAAAAAATTTTATTTTTGGCTTTTTTACAACTATACATAAAAAAATAATAGTTAAGTTATATTGAGAGCTAGATATAGTTTGGACAATGTGCTTCTTTCTTGTATTATCTCATTTCTTCCTCATAAGCAACCCTAGGTTGGGTAGAGAGTATAAAACATCCTTTTCCTGGTGAGGAAGCTGAGACTCAGAGAGGTTAAAGAACTTGCTACTGACTGTAGAGCCCATAGCATCTGAGTTAGGATTTGACCGTGGGGTGTCTCATTCCAAAACCTGAGCTCATAGCACTTGTCTATGCCGGTTAGGAAGCAGTGGACCAGAGAGACTGTTCACAGGAGACATGACAGGGCTTGAGGGTGGAGAAGGGGGCAGGGCTCAGACAGGTCCACAGAGGCCACCCAATACCTACACAGTCCAGTTTGCTTTTCCTCCACAGGTAGTAGGGGTCGGCAAGTTGCTTGAGGGAGTTCTTGAGGTTGACAGCTATCAGGGCTCCTAGCACAGACTAGGGAAGCAGAACATTGTTCCTGTCACTGGAGTGTCCCCTTCTTCCTACCCTTCCTATAAAAAGGCATGACGCTGGAGCCTGGCAGGGCAGAGCTGGAGCTCCGGAGCACTTCCCCCACAGCCCCGCCTAATCTCCGCACTGAGGCTGAGGATTAGACAGCACAGGTGAGAGAGCCATGGGGCCCATCCTGACCCCATTGTCACCCTTCCCCTCTTCTCTCATACCCACGTGGTCCGAGCCTAGAGACTGGGGAATCAACCTGGAGGGTTGGGGGCTGGAGTCTGGGACCAGCCCTGAACTTACAAGCTGTACCTCTGTGGGCACATCACTCAGACTCTCTCAGCCCCAGGCTCCCTCACCTGTAAAATGGGGAGAGTAAACCTGCGTTGTCTGCTTCGCAGGTTGAGATTAGGACAGAGTGCATCAATGACAGCACTTGGTCATCTGTGAATTGCTGCATAACTCCTAGGGCTTGCTCTTACTGGAGTCTTTGCTGGCCTCTGTGCTCTTGCTGGGCTCTTACCTTGGGGAGAGGGTACAGATAGGACCCCAGGACCAGCATGGTGATCATCACCACCAGAGATACACACAGGCTTGCCACCTGTTCAGAGAAAGAGTTGGGAATAGGAGGAATTGCTCCTGATTCATTTCCAACAGACACCTTTGGTGGAGAGGAGACTAGGGAGGGGAGAGGAAGGCTGGAGGAGCAGCCTGCTGGCATGTGGGTTACCAGGATTCTCTCGGGCAGCCGTGCTATTCCCACCTACCCCCTTCCTCCCCTGGCACAATGCTCACCTGGGACTTGCTCCCAGCTCCATCCACAGCCAGAGTGACGGAGAGTGCACAACAAATGACATGGATTTTAAAGAAGGAGCCAAAAAAGTTGCTGCAGCCCAGGGCGATCATCTCCTGTGGAGACAGGGGTAGGACTGGGTGGTGACGGTGTGGGGATGGGGTGGCAGAGAGAGGAGCAAACCTAGTCGGCCATGAAAGCTGGATCTTGGGCCTGGGACCTGGTCTACTGCTATAAAGCCAAACACTCCCAATCAAGCGGAGGTCAGCTTCTGGGATAACAGACCCTCACCCCAGGGGGCAGGCTGCCTTCCTCACCTCAGCCCAGAGCCCAGAGATATGTCTTGCCGGGCCTCGGTGGGCCCTGGCCCATCCTGCTCGTCCTGCAGCGGGCAGCTGGACCTACCTGGTTGGAATCCACGTCATAGCCGTGCTTGCCAGCCAGGGTCCGACCCATAGCCAGGTTGATGACATAGCCCACGATGGCCAGGGCAAAGGCTGTGCCAACCATGTCCTTCCACTGTGAGACCACAGGTAACACAGGAGTAGGGAACCTGCCGAGGAGCCAGAGAGGAGGCAGGGCCCAAGGGTGTGAGGAGAGGGAGGGCACCGAGTCCTTCAGCAACCCACGGGGACCAGCCGGACCCCATTGTGAGCCAGGGTCTCACGGGAGCTACCCTTTCAATCTGAGTCCTCAGTACAGTGCTGTAGGGCTATCACTCCCGTTGACAAACTAGGAATCTGAGGCTTGGAGGACCTAGCTTACCCAAGGTCACAGAGCCAGTCACTGGCAGGGCCTTGTTTGTTCATGCCCAGATGCTAGACTCTTTACACTTACCAGCCCCTAGTGTTGTGAGCACCCCCACATCTGCTCCAATTCTGCAGCACAGCCTTGCCCGACCCCTCCCAGGCCCAGCTTGCTGCCTGGCACAGAGTGGATGTTTAATGAATTTGCTTCATCCTAATAGCTTTCTGCCCACGTGGATAAAAAAAGCCAATGCATTAGGACAGGGCAAAGAGCCAGGCGAAGGCTATCAGAGAGGCATTGATCTAGCAGCACCCCTTGAATGAGACTTTGCGGGGAGTGGGGCAGTTAAGACTCACTGTTCATAAAACAGCCAGCACTGGCCCCTTGTGAGGCTCTTCTCCATAACAAGTACAGTATTCACAGCTGCTCAGTGTCATGGACTTTGTAAAGTACTTTCACAGAGTTCGTCCCAGCTCAGCCTCTGAGCCCAGGCCTTGGCGAGGAGTGGGGTGGGGCTGGTGCCAGGCTTTCCAGCCTCCTGGACTCACCCTTGTTGGATCTCTCCCACAATCTGCATGTGATACTTTCTGGGCATCTTGCAGCCCCCGGAGATAGCTGTCGCCACCACCACCTGCAAACCCCAAGTGGAGAATGGGGATCAGTTCGAAGTTGGGGTCAAGGAAAGGGTCTCTCCTAAGCCTCCCTTTTCTCTGGGGAACGCAATTCCCACTTGCCTGCCTCTTTGAGGGGGGAAGACCCCCATGGAGCAGGAATAATGGGAGCCATATTCAGGGGGATGGAAGGGATTCACCCCTGACTTCCTGTCCGACTGGCTGACAGTGGAAGGGGGGTGAGGGTGGGGAGGGGCTCCCTGGCCCTGGCTGCAGCTGGGTTTCTCTTCTCACGGCCCCTCTCCCACGGCCCTCCACACTCAGCCCCGCGCGGTCCTCACCACAATCATCTCCGTAGGGATGGGGAAGTGGATCTTGTGCCTGTAGCGAGCGTTGAGCTCCTTCACCAGCACCAGGAACACACCACTAATGAGGGCGAAGATGAGCGAGGCGATGTTGGTGTGGGGGAGGTTTTTGCAAATGTCAATGAAGGTCTGGTGGAGAGAGCATCATGCCTGTGGGCTCCCACCCCTTCTTCCCACCCTGCCCCACCCTGGGCGTCTGACCCCATGAAAGGATACCACCAAAGCTCATGCATGGAGGCACACCAAAGCGGAATTTCGACCCTGGCCACAAACGCCGTGCCATTTCCTACCACCCTCTTGCGAAGGGCGTGTTGTGTGCACAGGCTGGGGCAGGGACGCCGATTCCCTCTCTCTTCCTCTAGAAGGAGTTTAAGCTAAAGGGGGAGGGGCAGAGACTAGACTTGAGGAGTTCCTGCGCAGTGGAATGGGGAACTGATGAAGAGGGCACCTCTCCTTTCTGCAGGGATTAGCCACAGAGAACCTCACTGTGTCCTCGAGGTCACGTGTGGCCTTCCCTCAGCATTCTCTCCTAACACGGGGCTGGCCAGCCCCTGCCTGAGAGTGTCTCACGATGAGGAGCTCACAACTAATTTAAACAGTGAACTCGGCTGTGTTGCCAGCTTGAGCTCCTCCTCACTCACAGGCCACAGCTCTGGACTCACCAAGACGATGGCCCCGGGGCCCGCGTAGGAGGGGATGGTCAGCCCAAAGATGTACTTGAGCACGGATATCAGGATCTGCAGGCCGGCGGCCGTCATGAAGCCCCGGATGAAGGACTCGGAGAGGTAGATGGCCACAAAGCCGAACTGCATGAAGCCCAGGCCCATCTGAGGGGTGGAATGACCGAGAGGGACAGCAGTGCCGCAGCTGCCTGGTCTAAACCCAGGGCTGAAGTTCAACGTGGCCCTGGGCAGTAGCAGCTTCAGGGAAATGAGTCCATTGTGACCTTGTCCTGCCCTTTACCGTGCCAGCAGAACTTTGGTCCCTTTGGGACACCGGCCTCTATGTCACCGCGCCTCTCTAGCTTTAGTTTCCTCATCTGTCAATGAAACTGGCCCTCCCTCAGTATTTCCTCTGTCAGTGGATGACACCGCCATCTGCCCGGTTGGCCAACCAATACCGTGCGAGTCATTACTCCCTCACCTCCCACGTCCCATCTTGTGCCAAGCCCGGCTAATTTTGCTCCTGGCAAAATGTTCCTAAAGTCCACCCCATCTCCATGGCCACCACTGGTCTAGGCCCTCAGTGCTCTTGCCTGGTCTCTGCAGAGTCTCCCGGCAGGTTCTCTGCCTTGATACTAATCCACCTCCCACTCATCATTTTCTCCATAGCCCGAATGATCCTTACATCACCAATCGGACCTGAAGCCGCTACCTAGGGGACAGACCTCAGACTTCCTTGTCTGGTCCGTGCCTACCTTTCTAGCCTCCTCCCTGGCCCACCCCAAAGGCCCCCCTCCCCCTTGCTCTTCAGACCCACTGCGGTCCTGGCTTTGCTATTCCTTGTCTGCCGGCCCCTCTGAGGCCCTGTGCTTGGGGGGCCTGCTTTCTGCGCCTGGACCGTCCTCCCATGCCGTATTCATTTGCTTACTAGTTTGCTTCTAGCTGTCCTGTAAGGCTTGGCTGAAGCGTCAGTCACCTCTCTTTGAGGAGAGGCCTTTCCTAACTCTGTTTAGTGTTCCCCAAACTATTTGTACATAGCTCTATTATGCTGCTTATCTCACTGGCTACAAATTTATCTGTTGACATGGCTACTTCCTCTGCTGGACTGAGAGCCTCAGGAGAATGGGGCCTCTTTTTTTACTTATCTTTTGGCCCCAGAGCCTGGTTCCTGGCACAGTGGAGTAGCCAAGAAACATTAACTAAGTGAATGAATGAATGAATGAATGAATGGAAGGTGCTCTGTGAGGTTGCTTCCTGCTCTCGCATTCTGCCAGGCCGTGCTTCCCTTCACGAAGCCCTTTGCATGTGGTGGCAAAGAAGTTCCTGCTGTGCAGGTGACACTGTGGCTCGAGCAGAGGGGGCGAGAGGAGGACAAGAGATGTTAGGAGACCAGAGGACGGGGCTGGCAGGGAGCCACCTTCCAAAGGGAGCGGAGAGTGGCAGTGAGTCTTTGAGACAGTTGTGAATTCAGGACTGTTCTAGCAGGTGTGGACGCTGGTCTTAGGGGCCTGCTGGAGGGAGGGGAGGGTGGAACTGGCTCTTCCAGGTCTCTGGTGGCCCTGAAAACGGGGAAGAGTGGGGAGGTGGAGCCCTAAATCAGCTTTAACGTCAGAGCTGGGTCTTTGAGTCAGTGGCAGGGTGGTCTGCTGTCCTCCTGGCTGGGGCCCTGGCGGGAATGTGGCTTTCGCCCTCACCTGGATGACAGCAGTCAGGCAGGCTAGCGTCGCGGACACGCGCAGCCTCTCGGCCTCCATGGCTGCAGTGTCCACGGAGCTCTCGTTGGTGGCATTGTTGAAGACCCGGAATTTTGACTCGGGGGCCAGCTGCAGACAGATGTTACCCACCAGGATACTGATAACAGCAAAGGTACCTGTGGTGCCCCATCCAGCCAGCAAGTCAGAGGTTTGGACTAAACCCACGGAAACCATCAGGGGGCCCAGGGTTGCTCCCCCACCCCACGGGGAAGGAGCCCCTGGCCTCCAATGCTGCTCTGCAGCATTGCCACCCACATCTAACCTCGCTCCACACTTCTCCTGGCACTTTCATCTTACTGTATTTTGCTGTCGATAACACACACTTTTTTGCCCACATTTTTGAGGGCAAAATAAGGATGTGCATTATATGTGGGCAGTACCTGAAACACCTGGTATCTGTTCTTGTGTTTTGTAATTATTTGTTACATAAGATTTCTTGTACCATAATCTGTTCAAAAATAAATGCTAACATTCCTTTATAATACAAAAACCAAGTATCTAAATGTAAATATAAAAATCACCAAATTCACTTAATAAATACAACAATTGAATTAAAAAGTTAAAACAAGAGATTTTTTCCCTGCAGGTTTGGGCCAAAATTGTGGGTGCACATTATACATGGCAAAATATGGCAACTGTTTATAGCAGTATTTCACTGGACACGTGAGGAATTGTGCTTGGAAATACAAGCAGGACCTGACCCAGAGACAGGCCCTGTGACCAGGTCCTTCTTCTCTGTCTCACTTAGCCCCGGAGAGCTCCAAATGCCCCTGCGGTGGCCTGCTGGGACCAGTCTGGGGGTTAGACTGTAATGCCTCATGACTATTTAGCACTTTATGGTATACGGTTTACTTTTTTCCACCAGGTCTTCCCCACATTCCAGGAAGGGAGGCAGTACAGGTAATGCTAACTGAGCTCACAGAAGCTAAGCGGTTTCTCCAAGGTCACAGAGGACCTGGGACTGACACAGTGACGGTCCCACTAGAGCCAACCAGCGCCAACTAGAGGAGAGTGTAGGAGGGAAATCACCCGAAGCCCTTCTCCACACCACCTGCCCTCGTGATCCAGGTTACTCTGCCTGCTGGGAGGGCAGGGGTCTTACCTGGCACCATCTGGTGTATGCCCCCCAGGAAGAAGTAGGTCAGCAGAGGGAAGAAGGAGGAGTAGAGGCCGTTGACTGCAGGGAGGTTGGCCAGAAGAGCAAACGCCATGCCTGCGGGAGACAAGAGGGTGGGGCTCAGGGGCAGGGTGGGGCTCAGGGGCAGGGTGGGTCACGGAGGCCACAGAAATTGGGGGTGGGAGAGGAGCAGGCCTGGCCGGGAGGGCCCCTCACCTTGTGGGACCTGGATGGACCCACCGCTGAGGCCTCCAAGCAGGTCAGGGATGATATAGTCTCTGATTTTGTACTTGGGGAGCCAGGAGAGTATGGGAAACAGCCCAAACACCAGAGTTTTGAGCTTGGCCGAAGAACATCTGGAGGGAAAACGGGCAGATTTCCAGTCAGTGCTGCCCCAGCTTGACACCCTGAGTTGGCGGGGGATTATAATGCCCTGTTGCTGGTCATCCGTTCATTCAAAATACATTCAAAATTTGGTGAGCACCCATTCTGTGCAGTGTGCAGGGAAACCGAGAAGAACAGGCAGGGACTTTCTCTTGAGAGCCATCAGAAAGTCCTGAGCCTTAACTGGAGATCTTGTGGCTGCTGCTGGTTGCCTGGGAAGCCTACGAGACTTGGCTTAAAGGCATGGATTTCACGGGTCTTAACCTTCCAAAGTGTGATGTCCAGCCCCCATCTCCACCGGCCGCTCTCCACGAAAGGCTTCTCTGAGCTCCTGTCTGGATGCACACAGGCCCGGGCCCCTTGTCCAGGCTCCAGGTATGCCCCGTGTTCAACGACTAGCTTCCATCCCTCCCACTGGACGGCAAACCTGCGGGGGTGAGCAGTCTGGCTCTCGCGCGCATTTCTGTAGCTTGTGCATGACATTGAGGCGCTTAGTAAATATTTGTTGCCTAAATGAATGAGTGAAAGGATGAGCCGATATTGAAACTCAGCCTGTCCAAGTATATTCACAATAAACTCTCTAGGCACACTGAGTACATACAGGGTGGGGCAAAAGTAGGTTTACAGTTGTTCTTGTGGAAAATAACACAATAGTTAGTAAATAATAATACAAGAATAAACCCTGTGTTTCACATACTCATAATGGTAAACCTACTGTTGCCCCACACTTTACTGCTGAATGCTTTTTATTGATATAGACTCACCATTGTCTTTCTACCGCGCATTTGCTTACTAAAAGCTCTGGTTACTAGATTGTTTGCAAGGGGATCTGAGTGGGGGTCCTTCCTTCCCCCCAGGATCCTTGGTAAAAAAAGAAAGAATAGGTTATAAGCCTGCTGCTAAACCTCTCCTTCTATGGAAAGTTACTATGTTCTCACTGTAAAAAATCAAACAGTACAAAAAAAATAGAAAGAAAGAAACTCAGTGTGAGTGGAGGCCGCTGCTGTCTTTCTCAGAACGTCCCCTGGAAGGAAGGCTGTGCTGTCTCTGCAGGTGCACCTCCGTGGGCCCGCGGTCCTTTGTGTGTGAGGACTCCGACACCGGCTTCCTGCCCTGTTTGCTCATCGGGGAATGGAGGAATGGCAGCTATTCATTGGTCAATGCAGGGTGGGGAGAGCTGCTCCCTGCCCTGCTTGTTGAACACCTCCAGGTCCTTTCATAGAAACTCGGGAGTGGCAGGAACAAGGGCCTACGAACTCGAGGGTGACAGCTGGGGGACTGATGACTAGGAGAGGGTAGGAGGCATTGCTTTTCTTCTCCCAGCTGAGGGAACTCAAATACTCTGGGCCCATCCGATGACTCACTAGCTGCTCTGATTAGGCCCCCTTGCCTGCCCGGTGCCGATTCTTGTTCTTTGCTGTTGCTCAACAATAGTTTCCCTGACACTGGGTCCTCTGGACTTTACCAAGGACTGAAATCTACACAGACAATGCTTTGCACCCTGCACAGTCTGTGCAGATTTCCTGTCCCAACCAACACTCTGTGGGAAAGCATCACCACTGGCCTGTGACTCCCAAGTCTCCCCTGGGGTGGGCGGGCGGGTGCTTCTCCCATTTCTGGGATGGTGGGTGGGGGTTAGACTGGTGGTAAATAGCTTAAAGCATCTCCAAAGCCTTGTCTTAAGAGAGAACCAGCCCTGTAGGAACTGTCTCAGGTTGGTTTGCGGTAGGGAAAACTGGGCTCGTGAACAGAGAGCTGGTTAGGGAAAGAAAAACAACCTACTCAGAGGCTTGCACCTGCCCAGCCTTACGTGCAAGCCTACCATATATTGAGCAAAAGAGCTGACGCCTGAGAGAAGAGCTGGAGAGTGAGGCCAAACACCTATCCAGAGACTCCAGGAGCCAAGAGGGAAGTGGGCAGAGGGATTAGCTTTCTAGACATTCATTCATTCATTCATTAAACAAATATTTATTGGCGCAGCTTCTGTGTGCCAGGCACTGTGCAAGGCTCTCATGCCAGCCTCATGGGAGTTGGTAGTTCCCTACCTCCCTTTGTGGTTTTTTTCATCATCCTAGTCTTTTTCAGTACAACAGCGGATACCCTCACCCCTCCAGCACAGAAACAACCCAAACTTAAATTCTTTGGGCACCGGAGTGGGCAGAGCCCACCTGTCCGAGGAGCACAGCTGCAGGTACAGCACCCGGACACTGGGCACCCGAGGCCTCAGCTGGAACTGGGAAGAGAGGGAGCCTCCCAGGAGAGGTAGGATTGGGCCTGGACTTTTGATGGAAATGGAAATGGGTGATTCCCCCAGTCTGAACCAGTTCCACCTGCATCTCCACTTCAGCCATTGCCAGTGACCTCAATCCAGGTCACTGAATCAGCCGTTTCCCCCAGGGATTGAGGAAGTATGAGCCAGCCCACAACAAGGCCTGAGCGAGGTCTGCCAGAAGTCTGGGAAGGGGAAAGGGGAAGCTTGGAGCCTCAGGCTTCTGGAGTGTGGGTACAGGTCACTTCGTGGAGCCCCTCATTTGAGGAGTGGTCTCACTACCCACCACCACAGTTCCAGAGATCTGAGGCTGGATGCAGCCAGGGGCTGGCGGGACCACGTTCTGGTAGGTACCCTTCAGGAGAGCCCAGGAATTTACGGGCCACCTTTGGGCCGTTTGTGGACTGGGAGAAGGAAGGAGCATCTAGGAGGGGAGGGGACAGAGAGCATGGGGTGGTAGTAGTTCCAGATTCTTCTTCATAAGGAGGGGACAGGACACTGAAGTGAGGGCTCTGATGTTCCCCCTGGCACCCATGCTGTGACATGCCCATCCATAGCTCCCTTAGGAGCCCAAGAGAGACCTGAGTGGACTGAGGACATGGCAAGATCTCATGCAGGGGGCTGGGGATGGTCTGGCTGAAGCTGTGATGGTCTTTGCTCCCTGGGAGTCTCAGGACAGACAAAGTTGTAGTGGCTTCAATTCGGGGTTCTGAACCACCCCCCTCAGGGCTTTCCCCAGCTCTGTCCTAGGGGTGCCGGTGCAGGAGCTGTGCCTGGTGCAGGCGGGATTTTGGTGGGGAGTGGAGGAGAGGAGCCTGGGCTCTGGGTCGCATTACCTGAAGGCATTGTGAAGCTTCTCTCCCAGTGGGTACGTCCGGTCCTTCTTCTCAAACTCATCATCGAAGAGGGTAAGAGAGTATGCAGCTCTGTCTACCACGTAGCGGGGCCTGGGCTGGCTCATGTCTGGGGCATTTACAGGCTTTGGGGGAAGCAGAGAAGGGGAGGATGAGGGGCATCCCTCCTCAGTGCCAGCTTGGGCCTTCCCTCTCTAGTGCTCACTGCAGCATTTTTATGCTGGTCTTCCCCGCCCCACTCAGAAGGTGCCTCCCTTCCTTCTTTCAAATCTTTCCACCAGACTCACTTCTTTTGGTGGCCTTCCTTCCCGGGCACTGATGATGCACACAGTCGCCCTGGCTGTTTTGCTTGGCGCCCTGCATGTGGCTGGCACTGTGTACCTGTGACATCACTGTCACCCCCGCTGAACACCAGGTCAAAGAAAAAAAGGTGGGAGTGGGAGGGCAGGGATCGCAGCTGGGCCTCAGCATGCTCGTTCTATCCCTTGCTTCCCCCAAGGCCCATGGTGCCTCTGCGAGCTTCTCCATCTCCCCAGACCTCAGTTTCCCTGGCAGGAAGGTTAATACCATTCAGACAGCTTGGAAGAAATAGAGAGAACCGCCTGCCCAGAGGCAGGGGATGGCCAAAGTGACCTCAAGGAGGCCCCTTCTTGAAGGAGATGCCTAGGACTTCACCAACAGGTTTCCCCGGGGATAAGGGACAGTGGTATGTTTGGGGAAGTCAGGATGGTCTGCGCCTACTGGCTCTCCCACGCTCCCTGTGCCTAACCTTTGCCCCACTCTCTGTGCTGGTGTTTCTCTCCACTGTGATTTTCTCACAACCTTGCTGATGTCACAGGAGCCCAGCTGGAGAGCTAAGTGGACCCCCAGCTGGGCCCTGGGGGTCGAGAGGAGGTCCTGTGTGAACCTTTCTCCTCTCCCCTCCAACCACTGGTCTTCCCTCCTGTCCTCTGCCCTCCAGAGCTGGGAGAGGCCACCCAGAGGACCTCCATGGGGCAGGCTTAGAGGGAGGGTTGACTTCTGGGCAGTGGAGTGTGTAGGGTGGCGGTGGCCAGTCCAGCAAAAGATTTGAGATGGGGTTGAAAGTAAGAAACCGCTCAGGGGTAGGGCTGTGCCCTACTTCCTAGGGGGGAACCTGGGTGCTTCCAAGATTGTCAGAGCGGAGCGATCGGTGCCTTTTGTGGGAGGGAACACGGGGCAGAGGTGGACAGTGTGTTAACTAAGGTCCAGGAAGCTGGGGCTCTGGTCTGGCTTTACTGGTGAGGTCTAAGGGGTGGCATTACCTCTCTGAGCATCAGGTTCCTTGTCAATGAAACGGGGGCAGCAGCCATTTCTCAGGGTTCTGTGAGGGTCACGTGAGGTAACGGACAAGAAGGTTGTATAAAATGCAAAGAACGCTGCAGATGTGAGTTGTTACAGTGAGATGGTGCCAAAATCGATAATGGTTGAGCTGGTGCATTCCATTCATTTGGTCGCGGGACCCCCAGGTCCCACGGAGCTATAAGCACAGACTGGAAATCCACCAAAGCTACACAGCAAAGCCCGACTGGAGGAAAAGTGAGGTCGAACCCGCCCACAGCGCCTGTGCCCAGCCCCGTGCTGATGCTGAGTGTGTACGCTACAAACACTTGTTGAGTGAATCAGTGAGTGGTGTTTTGGGGAAGACAAGGGCGGACTGAGTGGGAGCCGCGGCATGTGAGACATCCCAGTGGGAGAGGTGAGAGGCAGAGCGGTGCAAGGAAAACAGCACACGTGTCAGAGCCGGCAACCTGTGCTCAGAGATTCGGTTTCTTCGTCTGTAAGTGGGGACAATAACAGTTCCCACGGTTGCTGTGAGGACTAAAGGAGCTCCTTTGTGTGAGGTGGCTGGCCTTCCAGGGCACCCAGCACATGGTGACAGCGATGAGTGCTATGATTAAGAAGGGAGAGTGCTTCCTTCCTCCCAGGAGAGACTATTCAGAGACTTCCAGGCCTTCACTCTCCATGAGGCAGAGTGGCCTTGCTCCCACCCTGTCCGTGGGCTGGAGGGGTCTAGCTTCCCAGGTGGTTTGCTGGGAGGGCCCTTTGGGAGCAGTGAGTGGGGACCATGACCCTCTGGAGGAGCCCAGAGCTCCGGCCTGGCTTCATAGAGAGAGTTATGGTTGGGGGGGGGGGGTCTATTCCAGGCCACTTGCAAAAGAACAGCCAAAATTTTCAAAGAGGGCTGACCCAGAAGAAGGGAGCCCCTTGGGAGGGTGATGGGAAATCTGGATTCCATGCCAGCTGGCAGGCAGCGGTCCCGTAAGCCCCTTCCCTGGCAGCTTTCAAGGCTCTGAGTTCCAGCAGTGCGTCTGTTGGGGGGGGATTGATACTATCTGACCCTGTTGAACCCCCACTCCCCCACTTCCCCAGCCCCATTTCTCCATTTCCTCAGTGGTACTTTCCTCCCTGTCACCCAGGCCCATTCCCCACATCTGTCCCTGCCCTCCCCGTCCCCAGCCCCTGCGTTCAATCACTCATCAGTCCCATCACTGTTTTCTTCCAGTGTCTCTCCCCTGCCGCGCCCTGCCGGTCTCGTCTCACACCTGCACGATTGCAATAGTCTGCTGACTCCCTGCCACCGCTACGCCCCCTGCTCGGGAACCCTCAGCTGCTTCATTTCCGGGAGGATCAAGCCCGAATTCCCTAGATTTAGCATGGTTGTCCTCTCACTGTCTGGCCCTGTTTTGGTGGACTTGGTAAATTTGTTGGCCGGGGCCCCTGGCACCTCCCAGTCACCCCAGACAAGATTGGCTCAGTTTTACCTCTGGGGCTCTGCCCACACTTTCCTCCCTACCTGCGGTACCCTGACTCATTCTGCCTTTCTACACCTGCCCATCCTTAAGACGGGCTTAAGCTCATCCTCCTTCCCTCTCCTCCCTATTCTCCTCCCTCCTGCACCCTTCCCATTCTTCTGTGAAGCTTCTCCTGACCCCCTGCCCTGGGATCCCTTTCTCCTCAGACATCCTCTGGGATCTCTCCAGGCTGTTCACCAGCATTGGTTTTGGCCACTCCTGGCTGTCCCCAGAGGAGGTGCCCTGGTCGTACTTCCTAGTTCCAAGAATAGGGGTTGAGGTGGGGTGGGGCTTAGGACGACAGGAGGTTACTTCATCCAGAGCCAGTCCTTCAGGCCAGGGAGGAAAGGGGGTTGGGAGAGGTGGCAAAGGGCGAGCCAGCAGGCCGGAGGCACCGCCTGTCCTAGACAGTTCCCTGAGAGTTCAGGGGCTTCCGGGAACCCCCAGAGAGGGCGCCTGTGGTGCTGTGTTAAGGGCGGGAAGGCGAAAGAGGGAGCAGGAACGGAGAGGGGTATAGTAGACGTGATGACTTGATCCCTAGTGGAACAAACACAGAGCCTGGCCTAACAATGATCGTTAGCATTGCTGCAGAAAGCTAAGTGCTCAGCCGCCAGGTGTGTCTCACCGAGCCCTGCCTCCCGTCAAACAGCACCTCCATCCGCCACCGGAGCAGGGATAAATAGCAGGTGCCATGGACAATACTGAGGGACAAAAGGGTGTTTCTGCCCGCTCCCCGCTGTGGAGGGAAGGCAGGGCAGGTCCTGAGTTACTGGAGAGACCCAGAGGTGGGCTGGGGGACTTCGGGGAAGTAGAGGGAGGGAAGGGAAGAGCAGAGGGTAGGAGAGGTGGGTGTATGGACAATTCCCAAGGCTTGGCAGGGAAATGGGGTCCTGTCGGGGGGCAAGGGGATCCACAGGTCTTGCAGAGCTGAAGAGCTGGAAGGGGGCGCAGAGGGGAAATGGACTTTGTTGGGAGGGCACGTGCCCCTTCCTGGGCTTCTCCAGGACCCCTCGTCAGAACCCCAATTCCCCCCACAGTGAGCTCACACAAAAGAAAGCCCTTGGGTATCTCCACCCAGTGGCTAGGTCTGGCTATACAGGAGGATACTGGGGGCAGAGGTGGGCTCCCACACAGTGCCCAGGTTTATGCGTGGGAGGGCTTGGACTGGCGCCTGGCCCTGGTCAGTGCACAATAGATTCCGACTGTGTTACTGCTCCTGCTACTACAATTGCTCTGGCGGGGTCCCTTCCTTGCTCTGCAAACTCAGGCAGTTCACTCTGTCTTTCTCGACCTTCTTCCTTCTTGTATCTGCTCTTACATCACCCCTTGTCCCCTTTCCCCATGCCATGTCCCTCCAAAATTTTCCAGGACTGGTGAGAGGAAAAGCAGAAAATCTTTTTAGAAGAAGACAGGACATCTGAGGAACACGGGGGGTGAGGAGTCTGTGCGTGGGGTCAATGGCAGGTCTGGGGTGATTCTGTCATCGTGACCCAAGCTGACCTTTCCTTAGCCCTGCCCAGCTGCACATGTGGGGGTTTCTTTGATGTGCGCTTGTGCCAGGCACGGAAGCAGTGCTGGCCAGCCAACCCACCCTGGCGTTGTTATCACAGGTTCCTACCTGGGCTGTCGCTGTGTTCTGAGGAATGGGAAGGTCACTTTGAGATTTTCCCTTCGCTCTAGCTGCACAGCGAGAGGGCTGCCTCTGACTGGCTAGGTGGGTGGGGTGGGAGTGGAGGGCAGCAGAGGAGGCTGGGCTCTGAGCTGTTCATGGGGACCCTGTTCACAGCAGAAGGAGTAGGATACAGAGTGTAGTCCTGTGGGTCTCCCAGGCATTTATCAATATTACTTTTATTTCTATTGCCCACATGTCCTACCCCTTCTTCACCCCAGCCTAATTTCCCCATTAGCAATGTGAGGGGAGCATGAGCTGCCTTGAATTGGCCTTCTGTCCTCCGGCTGTTCTAGGGACTGGCATCCTAGAATCACCACTGCCGCCCCCCAAGTCCCCGCCTATCTCTGAGCTTGCTCCCCACTCCCTCTCCACTTTCCTTGCTGGGGACAGGGACCTGTGCAGGGATGAAGAAATAAGCTCTGGCAAAAAGATCGAGGCTGGATTTTGAAAAGGACTTTCCAGCAGTGAGACCTGGTCAAGCTCATGGGATCCCTGAAATGGACATTTAAGGTTAGACACCCGGAGGCCTGTGAGGTTAGGGCTGGGCTCACTTGGAGGCAGAGGAGTGGACTAGGAGACCAGTGAAGGGCGTCCACTCTAGTCCAAGGAGTCAGTGCTGAGCGGGCCCCCGTTCCCTCAGGGGGGTCATTGGATCCGACTCTGGCTGTTTGGGACTGCGTAGCACACACCCGCTTAATTGTGCCCATCCCTGAGTGGACCCTCGATGTAAACAGTCCACCTGTGTCCCGGGATTCCACACATGCGCACACTCAGAACAGCCGGCCAGGCCTGGGAAGTGCCCAGGACGGCCATCCTGGCAGTGGGGGAGGCAGGTGTGCTGGCCTCCGTGCTGCAGGGAGGCAGCGGTAGTTAGGAAGGCCGGCGGGGGGTAGGGGGAAGGCTCTGGGAAGGGCATCTCTATGTGAAGCTATCCAGGGGGAAATCCCTCTCCTAATCTGCCCAGACTGGGGGCTGTGCCTCACGGAGGGGTATGCTCTTAAAGCCAGTTTTCCTGGGCGAACTCAGACCCAGTGGGGCCAAGTGTAAGTGGGGTGTTTACCCTAGAATGATGAACGACTTGCTTGACCTAGGTTGGGGACCGGGGGGTTGATTTTGAGGAACAGGGGCAATGCTTCAGGGTGACTTAGGACCTCTCAGAGCTGTAGTTAGGGGGCTGGGAGCCTGCAGAACTGCCCCGAACCCTCCTGCAGTGAAGGATTCACCAGGGAGTCAGATCCCCTGGGTCCTGCGCCCACTTGTCTGAAGAAGCTGGACCCTCAATAGCCCTTTTCCACTCCTCGGGTTTTCTTCCTTTTGCCTCTTCCAATGTCTCAGGACTAACGGCAACAAATGGACTCTGAGTGGCCTGAGCAGGTGCCGGGAGCAGGCGGAGAAGTGAATGAGTGAACGAGGACATCTGGGGGGCAGAAGGAGGGGCAGACAGGCCTCAGAGCAGGCCGGGGAGCCACGCATTAAGGGCTTTTTGCTCCCAAGACTAAAAAGAAAGGGAGAGGTGCAGCCAGCAGCTTCAAAGGCCGGCGCCCTAAGGAAGGTCCAATATTTTTGTTCTTTCCTTTGCAAAGGAAAGAAGCTCTTGCAAAGGAGCTGGATGCTTCGCTTTGCTCTGGTTTGGGGTCTGGAAGACCGCCTCCGCCAGGGGCTCCTTCGTACAAGCTCCCTTTAGTTTCTGCCATGCAGCTCTGGACCTCACACGGAAATGAAGACCCAGTGGGCTCCTCAGAGGTTCGGGGCTGGGGGCTGCTCTCAGACCCAGGGGCCAGAGTCCCTCCTGCTGGTCGGTGCACAGCCCACCCCCTGACCAGTGGGACCCTGCCACCCCTCCTCAAGCACTCCTGTGCCCAGGGGGGTGGGCTGTGTGGGGCTTACCGGCGGGTGAGCAGAGCCTGCTGGGCAGGGCCGCGGGTGTGTCTGGGGAGCGGGCAGCTGAAAGGTGTTCCAGAGGTGTGCGAAAGGGTTCTGCTCAAATAATCCGGGGAGGCGTTTATAAATAACTTTACCTCAGGGCCGAGGGGTGAGCCCCGGCTTCTGATTGGCTCAGAGGGGAAGTGGTTTTGAACACTACACCGTAGCTAAGCCTGAGGAGATAGGAAAAGGAGATAAGGAAAAAAGGTCCCAAATGAACAGCCCTTTTTTTGTTTTACCTGAGGAGCAGAGCTGTTTGATGGGAGCTTGGCACTTCCTAAATCCACCCTGAAGACAATAGGTCACATTCAGTGGGGCCCCGGCCCGCAGGCTGCCCCAAGGCGGCCAGTGGAGGCTGAGGAGGGGACAAGCAGACCCCTCTCCCAGCGTGCTGTCCTGTTGCTTATGGGGTTAGGGTCAAGCCAAATAGCCTGTTGGACAATGGAACCCATTGAGGCCATCAGAGGGCTGGGACCCTGGGGCTGCTTGCTTTGAAGGCTGGAGAGCTGGGGGTGGGAGAGATTGTTGGGAGCGGGCAGTAGACCTCTGAACACCCCTGAGGAAGGGGACAAACCTCTGGGAGACCCTCAGCATCCTTGGGTGCTTTGGGGCTGCAGTGGAGACCTAGTTCCCAGTTCTGTCCCCAACCTTAAGTTACTTGTAAGCTCTGTGCCTAGGTCTGTCCGTCAGAGCAATAATGAAAGTCCTCTGTGCCCTCCTGACTGCCCAGGTAGGGCACGCATAGGACGTGGGGGCTTGGGGTATGCGGAAGGTGCTCGAGGAACTGGACTTAAAAACAGTGATAGACATGTAAGGTGACCTCAAGGCTGGCAAATCTCTAACTCATAGGCCTCTGTGACTTCCTGGGTCCTAGCTCTGCTCAGGCTGCTGCTGCTGTCTGCACTGGGTCTGCCTGACCAGCCCGGACCCACAGAGCCCTGTGTGAGAACCTTGGAAAGGGCGACTAGGCAAGCTGATACTTCTTGACATGTCTCCTGGGAGGGAGAGTCTTCACCTGATGCCAGGAGCCCCTTCTTTTTAATACCTGGAGCAGCACTGCCCTAGTCCTGAATTGTCCTTCCAGTTCTCCAGAAGAAACAGGAGGCTCTGAGTGGGCTATAATCATTACAGGGGCTTTGGGAAGGCACCATGACACCCGAGAAGGCAAAAATCCCCCTGAGAAGGTGAAATAAGCTAGCTTCCGCACATAATGGGGACTCAATACACACTTGTTGAGTGAATAAGACGATGAATTGTCTGCAAGCCCAGCCCGAGGGAGAGTTTATACACGCATTGCTATGGGGACGAGGGAGACAGCTGAGGATACTCAGAGTTGTCAGGATAGAGTGAGAAGCCTGAATATGACTGAAGAAAGCTAGAACGTAAGCCTCCTGCTGAAGCAAGGCTGTGTGCAAGGACACTTCCTTCAGGGACTCTTCCCCGGTCATTGCACTGGCTTAGCTGCCACGTTCCCGAGGCCCCCTCTGGTAACAATGCACTGTTCACGATGGGTGGTCACTATGCATTCAATTGTCAGTCTTTCTCTAAAGCAGCGGTCCCCACCATTTTGGATCCAGGGACCAGTTTTGTGAGAGACAATTTTTCCACGCATATGGTGGGGGTTGATGTTCAAGGGGATGGCTTTATAGCCTGCCACCAGATGCAGCTTAATTGTCACTTGTCACTCACTGATAGGGTTTTGATATGAGTCTGCAAGCAACTGATTTATTATGGTCTCCCGTCAGTCAAACCTCTCTGCTAATGATAGTCTGTGTTTGCAGCCGCTCCCCAGCGCTGGCGTCACTGCCTCAGCTCCACCTCAGATCATCAGGCACTAGATTCTCACAAGGAGCATGCAACCTGGGTCCCTCACATGCGCAGTTCACAGTGGGGTTCATGCTCCTATGAGAATCTAATGCTGGCGCTGTTCTGACAGGAGGCGGAGCTCAGATGGTAATGCAAACGATAGGGAGTGGCTGTAAATACAGACAAAGCATCACTCGCTGCCCGCTCACCTCTGACTGTGTGGGCTGGTTCCTAACAAGCCATGGACTGGTTCTGCTCCGTGGCCTGGGGGCTGGGGGGACCTCTGCTCTAAGGACTGTGCACTCTGTGAGGAGGGTGGGGCAGTGTCTGCTTTGCTCACTCTTGTAGCCCTAACATCTAGCCCCATGCCTGGCACTTAGTAGGATCTCAGTACAGATTTGTGGAATGGGTGAATAACTGTACAATGGGGTCTTTAAACAAAGCAGAGCCAGAAGGCAAGACCTTGTCCACGTGTCTCTAGCATTGCCCAGTCGCGTCCGTAGCCTGACCTGTTCTAAACTTAGGCAGGTGCTTCTTAGAAGGCAATGAGTCATCAGGCTCTTCTTATAGCCAGGTGACAGTGACCATCAAGATCCAATAACTAAGTCCCCTTGCTGGGATACCACGCCTGCCAGGGGAACTTTTTGTTGTAATTTGGTTCCTTCAGAGCAGAGAAGGCATCGATTGCCCAACTGACTGGGGCATCTGGGGCTGCCTGCAAGTACCTTTCTCACATTGTGGTCTATTCATGGATCTAGTGTGGGTTTTGCCAATATGAGTCAGTTTCCCCTGAGTCCAGCTGACTTTCCATAGTAACATTTGGCTATCATGCAGGTTACCTGGTTTCATTCTCATAACAACCATGTGATTCAGGCACGTTGCTCTCATTTTTCAGATGAGGAAACCGAGGTTGACTGAAGTGAACTTGCCTGCAGTCACAAAGAACTAGATGAAAGAGGCAGGAATCTTATTTAGATATTATGGCTTTAAATCCCATATTTTGTTCATTTCATCACTTTAATCTTCAAATCTGAAAAGCTCAGGATGACACTTTCAGATATATCTCTCCAGGTGAAGATGGCTGGGACTCCAGAACAAGTTCTGCGGTTGGGAACTTGTTGGTTCTCCTCTCCAACCATTCTTCTACTGTCTTAGCAAGATTCTGGGCATGTAGATCTTGTATAACAGTGACAAGAAGGATAGATGAGCCCAGAGGTTTCTCTAAAGTCACTCAGGGAGATGGATGGGGGCCTCAGAATCTGGGGACTGGTTATGGGTGGGAAGCCTGGGAAAGAGGAAGCCGGACCGGGGGCTAGAAAGAAAAAGGACAGGAGGAGGAAAGGCCCTGATGGCTCGCAGGGCATCTTAGGAGTGTCTTTTGGATACGATTAAACTGTGGGACAGAGTTAGGGTTGGTGGAGGGAAAACAAAGATATTGATGGGGGAACTCAAGAGTTGGAAAATTTTAGTTTTAAGTAGTAGTTAATAAGCTTAGTAGTCAATGCATGTAAAAGCTATTGTTGCAGGAACTGAAGGTATGACCCACTCCGACTCCAGGAGACCACAAGCAATTCTATCTTTGTGCCCCAGGGGGACTGTAAGCAATTCAAGATGGTATCTGAGCCATTGTACTCCAGAGAGAGACATCCCTGCTGTCCAGGACACAGGACACAGGACACAGACCTTTAAAAGAATCAGCCAGGGACACACAGAAAGAATCACTGGTCAACAGATGACAGGATGCTGGGAAATTGCCAGACTGCATCTTTCATCTGATTAACATTTTTCCCGAGTTCCAAATCCCTTACCTATACTTTTTTCCCTGAATTCCAACCCCTGTACCTATGTTTTTTCCTCCTTATTTTTTTTTAAAGCTGGCTTGAAATGAAATGTAAGACAGTCTTTTAGGGTACATAAACTGCCGTCTTCTGAGATTGCTGGCCATCTGAATAAAGCGCGCATGAAGATGCATCCTTGTCTCTACTTACTGGTTCTGGTGGTGACAGGCAGCATGAATACTGACATTTCTGGTTTTGATATGAGAGACAGACAGTGGCAGAAATAGAAAACCAGAAAAAGAGAGATAGACAGAAAAAGAAAAACAGAGCAAGGAGCAAAGAACACATTAACATCCAAAGCAGCTCACAGTCTTGAGTTTTGTTGAATCACCGTTTTTCACAGTGAAAGCAGGTGAGCATCAACCTTATACCTCTCTCTGGAGCATGTAGGTTCTCTTTGGGTAGCAACCTACCCCACCTCCACTCATAGGGTTGAAAGCTGTTATCCATGCATTTATTTACTCATTTATCCACTTAAAAATGGAATCCAGCGCCAGGATCCTGCCTTGGGAATGCTCAGATGAGTAAGACACAACCCCTGCCCTGAAAAGATCTCCCTTGTGGGAAAGACACAGGGGTGAAGAGGCTGCTGTCAGCTGTGAACGTTGAGTGCTATGGGAGGGCGGAGGAGAGGCACCCCCTCTCATGAATTGAGAGGAGGGAGAAGAATCAGGGAAGACTTCCCCTAGGGGGGGCATAGAGGGCCCACCACAGCCAGAGCCTGGGCGCCTGAGCTCCAAACCCCAGGTGACCACTCTGGGAGGAAGTAAGATGGAGGCTGCCTCTGGAAGCACTATATTAAGAAGGAGTTCCCAGCTTGTCCCCTAGCCCCCTGACTTCCGAATCCACCCAAGACTGTCTGTGTTAAAGCCTAGCTCTGTCTCCTGTCTTTCTCTCTGCCCAGAGCTTATCCTCCTCCTCCAACCCTATTCTTAAATACATCACATTTCACTCACTCACTCATTCCCTCACATCAACAGGTTTTGGGAATTTACTGAGCTATGCAGATGAAGCTAAATTATCCACAAGTACCGTGCTGACACACCCCACCTTTGAGCTGGTCCAGCTAAGAAACAGCTAGTTTTCTGATGGGCAAACTGAGGCTAGACCACCAAGAAGGAGACTAATTCTTCCACCTCTGTCATCCTTGGCCCTCCGGTCTTATCTGTACCTACTGGCTCCTTGAATTTGTATTCTGTTTGGGGCCTCTGCCAAGCATGTGGGCAGGATCATGTTTTAGGCAGAGCAGCCCAGTGACTTAAGCAAACACCTCAAGGCTGGAGACAGAGAAGTCTTCGCCACCCAGCCCTGCAGTGGCAGGTTAGACCTGGCCCCATGGCAGTCAGTTTCATGAGTACATGGGGACCGGAAGGGCTATAGAGAGA